AACACTGGGAAAAAACCTACAAGATACAGGCGTAGGAAAGGATTTTCTGAACTGGACATCAATTGCTCAAGAAATAAGGTCAAGAATCAACAAATGGGACCTCATTAAAATGAAAAGCTTTTGTATATCAAAAGAAGCAACCAAGGAAGTGAAGAGAAAACCCACAGAATGGGAGAAAATCTTCACCAGTGGAGACATCTGACAGAAGTTTAACATCCAGAATATACAACGAACTCAAAAAACGAAGAATCAAGACGGGAAGTAACCCAAGTAAAAGATGGGCTAAGGAGCTGAACAGAGAGTTCTCAAAAGAAGAAATAATGATGGCTAAGAAGCATCTTAAAAGGTGTTCAACATCATTAGTAATTAGGGAAATGCAAAATAAAACCACTTAAAGATTTCATCTTACCCCAGTCAGACTGGCTAAGATCAAGAGAACAAATGATACCAAATGTTGGAGAGGATGTGGGGAAAGCGGAACACTCATCCACTGCTGCTGGGGCTGCAAACTGGTTCAACCCCTAGTCAATGTGGAAAACTCTTAAAAAACTACAAATGAACCTACCATTTGACCCAGTTATACCACTCCTTGGCAAATACCCAAAGAACTCATCCTATTGCAGAGACACTTGTACATCCATGTTTGTTGCTGATCTTTTCACAATAGCTAAGAGATGGAAGCAACCTAGGTGTCCCTCAATTGATGAGTGGATAATGAAAATGTGGTTCATTTATACAATGGAGTTTTACTCAGCAGTTAAAAAAGATGAAATCATGAAATTTGCAGGTAAATGGCTGGAACTAGAAATTGTTATACTAAGTGAAGTAACATAGACTCAGAAAAAAAGACAATATGTGTTCTCCCTCATATGTGGATCCTAGTACCAAATCTTGATAAGTGAGTATGTATCTAGACATAATTACAGGAACCAGGATAATGAAAAGGAACCAGGGAGGTAAAGGAAAAGAAAGAATCTAAAAGAGAAGAACAGTACATAATAGGCATTAATAAGGGAGATATGGATAAAAATAGGGTTACTTTAATGGTGGGGAGGGAAGGTTATACAAGGAACCTAGGGGATAAGGGAAAGAAGGAGCTCAAGAGAGGTGGGACCATAGAAGAAGGGGATTATTAAGGGAGAAAGGGGAAAATGGGGGCACCTTAACTGGGGGAAACCATGGTGGAAGGGTTAGACAATGCGAGAGATAAATAATGCCTAGCTAGTTTTAAAAAACCAGATGGAACCATATTAGTCCAACAACCTACTGACAAATTATACATACAGCTAGATCAGGGAATATAATATATGTCTAGGCAAGGTTTATCTGAGAACGTTTGGTCTTTGCCCAAGCTTTATTTACATTGCACATGATAATTAAAAGTGCCAGACTGGTGGAATTAACCTTCTTGGATGTTTAATAGCTATACTTTGAGGTCTATACTAATTTGGTCAGAGGGACACAAAGGACAGTTTTTGCCCCTTGCCCTCCTAGTTCAACTGAGTTCCAGGAGGCTATGAACATCTCCCAAAATGTCCTGTAACTGTGGTGAGTCACCTGTCCTCTTGATGAAGGAGACCATGGAGAACCCATCAAATGGACTTAAACCAGTGTCCAGTCTACAAAGAGGAGGGTCAACACGGAGGAAACATTTCCTCCGTGCCTCCAAGTGAAGCCACCCATAGTCGAGTAGGACCTTAAACTTATCTTCACATAGATGGAACTGGTAAAAGAAAGGAGCCAGCAGCTCCTTCCAAGCCCATGTGACCCCTGAGGAACAGATCCTTAAACGGCCTTAAGAGTTAAAATAAATTGGCTTATCTGGGCCAACTGTATGGTCTTAAACACCCAAAAGAAATGTATAACCAATGATTACAGGGGTCAATATAATTTTTTAAGAGTCCATGTGTATAGCTAAAGGCTGCATAACAATGCTAGACAAGAGATATCTTCCTTTGAGTTGTTGGCCAGGGTGGCCCAAGAGACCCCCAGACAGTAACCCAGCAGAGAACTGGGAAAATGAACAGCAGACTCCAATCTCATCTAAAGGAATATTGACAACTGGTTGCTGCTAGATGAGCAACAGCTGATCTTCCTAAAACATGGACCTCTAGATAGGCTGACTAGATTCAGCAGATGCACAAGCACTGGGGAACGGCTAGAGGGCCAACAACACAGTGGACAGTAACAGGGTTGACAGATTATATGGGCTCCAGTATGTGGGAGGCAGGAGGCTATGGGAGGGTGATATTTGGGATGTGATTATAAAGATGAATAAGATTGTTTGGGATGTTCTGTATGATACACACACACAAAAATCAACAAATTTTAAAAATGAGTTATATTTGAGAAAGAAGCATAAAATTTTACTTCATATTAATTAGTAGAGGTGATAAATATTACCATTGAAATCTGCCTGATGACTTCATATCCATACTCAGGTGCCATGGATCTGAGTGTAACCGACTGTGACTAGTAACAATCAGATACATAGAGATTAGAGATGCATGTGCAAACATCTAAGTGATTGTAACATTAAAAATGAGTCTTTCTGTAGGAAACAGTATATTTCAAAATGAAATGGAGATCTTTTTTAAAGGTTAAAACCTCATAAAATTTTGTGTCTTATAGGGTTTATACTGAGCTCAGTATTGTATAAGTGTATTAATTCAACTGTGAACCTAAAAATTTACAGCCACTTTTGAAAGAGATGTATCATTGCTCTGCAAATTGTTATTGAATATGTTAAAGCTGTAATGAAATGCTTCTTCTAATCATGTGGTTATTAAATAATTTTTCTAAAACTTAAAACCATGTAAATGGTATATAATGACACTCTTAATAGATACAATTGTGCTGGGGAATGTAGCCAATAGCAGAGCCCTTACCTAACATACACGAGGCCCTGAATTCAACCTTCAGTGCTTCAAAAAGAAAATCCAAAAAGCTAACATTTGCTACATGCTGGATTCCATCTCGAGTGATTCATATACATGAGTTTACCTGGACTTTGTAAACTGCACAAGATGGATATTTTATAACCTGTTTCTCAGAAGGGGCAACTTAGGCACAGAACTAGCTGGTTGCTTGCCTGGCAGCAAACTACTAGTAAGTGGCAGTGTCAGAATTTGAACCCAGGCAGCTTGGCTGCAGTTCCTATTCACTTATCAACTATGCCATAAGCTTCTTCACAAAATTCACCAGTCACAGTTCTTTTGTATAAAAAGTCAGTACCACCAGACATGGCGGTGCAACCTTTAATCCCACCACTTGGGAGGCAGAGGCAGGTGGATCTCTGTGAGTTCAAGGTCAGCCTGATCTACATAGTGAGTTCCAGGCCGGCTGGGGCTACAGGGAGACCTTGTCTCAAAAAGACCCAAAATTAAAATAAAAAATCAGTATCAATTCACAAGCAAGATCCTACTGTGTAGGCTATAAAAATAAAAAAAATATGTAATAATTAAGCCCTTGTAATCCTCAGTGGTGTTTTAAAAAGTCAGCAAAGTATTAGAAACATGCTTATCAGTTGAAGAACTTGGTCAAACTACTACATACTCAGTCTTCTGGGTGTTCTCTCTCCTACCCTTTTAGTATACTGTCAGATTGAAATAGAATTTTTTGAAATTACATTAAAATAAAATTCCATTCAACTCTCTTTCTGTACTTGTATAGCCATATCAGCTATGCATGGCAAACAATCACTTTTCTAACAGTATGATCAGATGATATTTGTCAGTTTTATATAAATTTTAAATTATATAATTAATCTTTTATTTCTATAACGATAGAGCACTATAATTACTAAAATTCCAATATATGTCCTTGAATCTCATTTGGTGAGAGACTTCAAAAACCTTGTGATAGTAGGAGAACATTAAAGGGTCGGGAATGTAGTTCAGTGGGAGAGTTCTTGTCTAACATGCCCCAAGTCCCTGGATTTAACCCTTATCCCTACAAAGCAGGAGGAGAAGAGAGTGAGCTGAAGGGTAAGGAGAGATGAAAGAGGAAGGGGAGGGAAGGGAGGAAAGAGGAAGGGGATGGAGGAGAAGAGTCTCCTATAATTTGATGCTATGTCAAACTGCTTAGGGGTGACCAAAGAACAGGGTTTTTTCATCTTAAAATTATAGTTATTTTTGCCGGGCGTGGTGGCACATGCCCTTAATCCCAGCACTTGGGAGGCAGAGGCAGGCGGATCTTTGTGAGTTCGAGGCCAGCCTGGTCTATGTAGTGAGTTCCAGGACAGCTGGGGATACAGGGAGACCCTGTCTCAAAAAGACAAAAAAAAAATTATAGTTATTTTTACTAGAGGATATACACTCATGCAAAGAGGCTTCAGACTAAAAGAATAGATGGAAGTATAAAAAGAGTTCAAAAGAAATCATATCCAATTAGAGAGGAAATAGAAGGGCTTAGTATTAAAAAAACAACTTCTGATGGGACCCCTCTAGTGTAGGTAGCATTTCAACCTGCAGACTTACAGAATGGAGCATGTGCTTCCAAGCTAAGGAACAAAGGAATAGCAAGGACGAGGCATTGGCAAAGGTGTGGATTGTTCCAACAACCTAGCGTCACTCTTTTTGTAGCCTAGTATGTTCTTCCTAGTATGTTCTTCCTGTTCTTCATAGCCTAGTAAGTTCTTCCTGGTTTCCCTCCAGCTACCTGTCTACTCACTTTTCCAATTGCTTCCCTCAGTGTTGAAAGCCTGTCTGTTTTCCAAATGCCAGGTGATCCCTCATGGGCAACCTCGTCTGCACAGCCTCTGTTGTCTTGATGTCTGCAGTGCTCCAACCCTGCCATATTTTCCTCCTTAAAATTCTGACATCTTAGAACTAGAAAGAGAATAATAGAGCATATGAGACAATTACCTCCATTGTTGCTCATCCTGTCCTAAGTTTTACTCAAGGATTCTTATTATTGTGAAATACTTCTCTTTTGTTTCTTCTCTTATGCTTAGAAGGTCTAAAATTATTGACAGGACTGGTTATATTCACTAGCCAGAATAAAACTGCCTTGGCATCCAAATAAAGCCACTCTCTGCTTCTGATCTACCCGTGATTTCCAGGAGAGCAATCAAAAATACCAGCAGGAACGCTCACACTCCTGATAAGAAACACCTGTTCTAACAAAAGAGTTCCAGTAGGCTGTTGCAAGCCTGACTTTGTGACTGGATAATAAGAATGAAGGACAGCAGAGACCAATTCTTTCTCAGCTTTCATGTGCCTGTGAATAGACTTGAAATCTTGTTAAAAGGCAGAGTCTAGTTCAGTAGGTACCTGAGATTCTGCATTGTTAATGAACTTCCCATTGCAAAGAATATTGGAGAAAATAAAAAGCGATGAAATCAGAGTGCTTTGTTAGATTCAATAAATAGTTAACATAGTCCTATGAGACAGGCAATGACTATCCCATAAATGCATGATGAGCAAAAAAAGACAAGATCCTTCTAAGAGTTAAGAGTGTAGCAAGTAGGAAAATACAGGCACAGAGTTCAAAATGACATGGCACCTACAGAACAGTTTCTGAGCCCAGTGGCCAATACTCAGGATGAGCAGAGAGAGGGCTTTGAGGGAGTGGGGAGGGGACAGAAAGAATGTAAGACCCAGAGGACTTGGAGGAGTGTTGTGAAATGCTGTCCTCTGAATACAACACAGTTACTGCACACATGAACCCACAGCATCTGTGGTTACCTATACAAGATGTGCAGAAGATCAAGTCACTTAAAAATTCCAGTGTGGATTAGGGAGTGGTTCCTGAGGCTCACCTCCAGGCGAGGAGCTTGCAGTTGTCTGATGGCTGAGGAACAGTCACTTTTCTTTAGGAGTATGGCACTGGTAAAGAAGTTCCTGTGCCCTGCGATCCCACACCCATGTGCATATAAGCAACATTAACTGGACACATTAATTAAATATCAGAGAAAAAAATAGACCAAGATGACTGGTCACTGTGGGTAGGAGGAAAACCAAGAAACAGAAATATGGAAAGCAAAGAAATAGGAAAGAAATGTCAAGAAAGACTGATTATAGAAAACAGGATTGATGGAATAGGAGCTCAGGGGCCTACTGATGTTCAGCACAGAGAAGATAGGTCATAAGTATATACTGACATACTTGAGGCTCATAGTCAGGCCTTGCAAGGAAGGTAAATCATCTCAAGCTACTTGATTCTTAGAGTTATATATACTATATCATTAATAAAGAAACTCAAAACTATGAAAATATAAATGGTACATAGCATAAAGTTCATACACACACACACACACACACACACACACTAGGGATGTGGCTCGACGGTAAAGCATGAATGACACGCATGAGACCCTGGGTTGGATCTTTAGCATTGCAAACAGTGAGTGTCAACAACAGTGACAGAAACAGGAAGGGATATTAACATATAGACATTCACTTTGTTGTTGTTGTTGTTGTCATTGAAACACCCTGGTAGACACTTTTATTTGCGTTACCTTATTCTACACCTGGATGGACAATAGATGACATTTTTCCCATTTTTATGGCAGACACATTTAAGACTCTGGTAACCTGCTTGACAGCGACGTATGAGTAACTCAGGGCAGGGTGCCTGAGAAATAAAGCTTGGTAGGGCTTTAAGAGACATAGGCCATCACAGGATGCAAACAAATTACTCCCTTCCAAGAGAGGCTAAAGGGACATTCATTAATAACACATGCCTACATTATAATTAGACATGGAAAGTAGATCACTTCAGAAATGAAATTCTGTTTATAGCATTTAGTATAATAGATGATTAGATTTCACTGGTTTTATGTCTTGCAAATTCAGTTTGAGGCTGACAGACGTGCTTTAATCATCACTCTTAACTCGTTTGGCACTGAACTGAGCAAAGAAGACCGGGAGACCCTCTTCCCGACCTGCGGCAAACTCTATCCTGAGGGCCTGCGCTTGTTAGCTCAAGCTGAAGACTTTGACCAGATGAAGAGAGTAGCAGATAATTACGGAGTAAGTGCTTCCATCAGTGTGCTGAGCGCCTTGTGTTATTTCATCACAGGCCCTTTAGAAGCTCACGCATCAATTTAGACATCTTATTCAAAGAAGTTCTGTCCATATGGCAGCAAGCAGTGGCTCTTGCTGTAATTATGTCTCCCAGAGAAACACTTCACATTTCCAGTCCAAGCTGGTGTCTTCTAAGACTCCTGCCAACAAAGTCCTTGCTTAAATCTCCTAGGACTGGTTATCTGAGCACTTTCTTGAAGTGCTTGATAAAGCAAGTTCCCCCATACATTGGGGCAAGATTCTGAAAGTACAAGTTCATGTCAAAGTTTTATAAAACAGCCTGACCCCATTATCCTTTCAAGTACCCAGTGGGGAAGCAAGGTCAGGGGAGAATATCTATATGGGTAGGTATGTGGATTTTCCCATTGCCTTTGCTGAGCGGCAGAAACTGGGAGACAAAAAAACTGCTTATTTGCTTTCCCTCCACTGCTCCAGACAGCCAGAAGAGCCTCAGCTCATGGTTGTTCTTCTTCGCCCCAGATTCCACTTCCTCAGACTTGTTCTTCCCAGTTCTAGAAAGACACTTGAGTTTTCCTGTAGGTTTCTGAAACCTTCCAGGAAAAAGTCAGCAAACAGTATGCATAAACCTTCTTAGCATCTTATCTGTAATTGCCTGTGACTCTTCAACATAGTAAAATTTGAGCTTTCCCAGTTTCCACTCCTTCCACACTTAAAATTACATGTTTTGTCAGTTGTCATCTCAAAGAACCCATGAACCTATGCTGATCAAACTAAAGAGTTCACTGAGCCCAAAGCATTTGTTTGTGAAAATCATCTCTAACAATGTATACTGAAAACAGAGTGACTTTTGCCTCATGTATACAGCCCTGACTAAGCCTATAAGTTAGAATTTCATCATTTATCCTTTTATTATTTGGACTTTTTTCAGGCAGGAAGTCAAAGACTCTACTAATAGTAATTAGGCCTTCTGGTACAAATTTTCAGGGGAAAAATGTACACTATTTCATCTACATTTGGATGAAATGAAAATTCCTTTATATTTAATTTCTTTGTTTTTCAGATTTACAAGCCACTGTTTGAGGCTGTAGGCAGCAGTCGGGGAAAGACTTTGGAGGATGTCTTCTATGAACATGAGGTACAGTGGAAGCAGAGATGCTGCTGCTTTAGATGCTTGTTGTTGTTGTGGCTTTTAAGTATTTTCTTAGTTGGATTGTGTTTTTGTAGTTCATCATAACAACCAATGCTTGTCAGTGAATGTTGTCCATTAGTTACTTCCTGGAGTATTGGCGTCCTGCGGCCCACATATGATGTTTCATGTGAAATTGTCCTGTGCAGACAAATGTGCTCATAGGAGGCTCTCAAAGGAACATGGTTTTTTTCATGGTTAGTTAACCACAGAAGCAAAGCCAGGGTGTCCTCACACATACAGGCTCCTCTCAGGTAGGTTGCTCTCACTGTCTAATACAGGTCACCTCCAGGAAGGGTTTATCCATAGTTTTAATATGCAGGCACAACTATAACCCTAAGGAATTATGGAATTCCAGGGTCTAACTTATTCTCTTTCTCTAATAAAAGGCAGAAGATTACTTAATTTTATTATAGTCCATTCCTCAGCTATTGTGTTGTTTAACAAAGAAGCTTCTTTATTTTTCCTAATCAAGTTCATTTCCCCAAATCTAGAGATTTCTTTTTTCTTCTAGTATGTCCATTTCTCTGAAATCATTGGCCTCTCTATCTCAATCTGATTGGGATTCGTAAAGAACCAAACTTTAGGGTTAGAATGGCTCCAGAAAGAAGGTTGGGAAACTTCCTATCGCCCGGCACTGGACGTCTTCCCACAGCTCACTTTCACAGAAAGAAGTGAAAACAGGGCAAACAGTCCAACGTATTAGAGATATTTAAAACCCACTGTTTACCAGTGCCACAATGGAGGACGTCAAGGACGCTGTGCTTGGCAGGAAAAATCAGTGTCTATTCCCCAGAACAGGCAGCCTCTGCTTCCTGACTGCTTTGCTTGGGATTTTCAGAGCAGTGTGAGGGACTTGGTACCTCTCCTGCTTTTGTCCATCCTAAATATCAAGAAAGAAGAGAGTGAGGGATCTATTTCCAATTTTATTCTAGTTTCATTTTTTAAATTTTCTTTTGCTCTCTTAACTTTTGCAGAATGAAACAATGCAGCTGTAGAATGTAGCTGCAAAACACTTACAAAGAAGCTCGTAATGCTACTCGGTCTAACTTGCAGAAGAGTGTCACATTGCCCCGAGAGTTAAACAGCCCTGAACACTTTTGAAATTTTTTTTAAGCCGCTGGAGAGGAGGCTCAGTGTTTAAGAGCTCTTCCTGCTGTTCGAGAAGGCCCGAGTTTAGTTCCCAGCACCCACATGACATGATTCATAACCACTTGTAACTCAAGCTTCTGGACATCTGATGCCCTCTTCTGGCTTTTTATGGACACCTGCTTACATGCAACAGACATGACAGATCCACAAACAGATAGACAGACACACACACATATACACTCATACACACATATACACACACATAAAAGTCCTTGACAAGAAGGAATAGTTTATTGAAATGAGACAAGCCCACTAGCTAAAAGCCTGACAAATAATACTGCAAAGTTAAACACACACCAAACACATCTTTTGTCTTGCAATCATAAGATTTGAAATTTACTTTGTGAGTCTATAAACTTACTTAAAAACAATATTTCATTATTTTTATTTTATGTGCATGAGTGTATTGCCTGCATGTATGTAAGTGCACCCATGTCATGCAGTACCCTCAGACATCAGAAGAGGGTGCTGGATCCCCCTGTAACTGGAGTTACAGACGGTGCTGGGAATTGAACCTAAGTCCTCTTCAAAAGCAGCCAGTGCTCTTAATTGTTAAGCTGTCTCTCCAGCCCCTAAACTTACTTTTTAAACTAACACTATGTACAATTATCTAAGTGATACTCTCTTTAAGATTTACTGGATTGACTTTGTTTCCCAATATGGGTCCAGTTTGGACACTGCTTAAGTACAAATAAGCACTATGCAAGCAGAAGCTCATCTCTAGCTTGTTATTACTTCATAAATGTTCCAAACAAGCCATTGGTCCATGTCTTTTTTTTCCTTCCTCAGGTACAAATGAACGTGCTGGCATTTAACAGGCAATTCCACTATGGTGTGTTTTATGCATACGTAAAGCTGAAAGAGCAAGAAATGAGAAATATCGTGTGGATAGCAGAATGTATCTCACAGAGACATCGAACTAAAATCAACAGTTACATCCCAATTTTGTAGGCCAAGGAGGAGGCCTCAAATGCAGAAAATTATACATGTTAATAGGAAGTTACTTAGAAAAAGAAAAGGAATTGTGTCACATTACCTAAATTACACAGAAGTAAGCTGCAGCTCCTTTTCGTGAATTTCAGGACCACTGGAAGCACAGCCCATGAAACCTGAAACAAAGCATTTCTCTGTGTTCTGAAGCCTCAACTCTTTTTCCACACTCACGCCTCATTGCCCACTGACCTCACGCATTAAGTGCAGTCCCCACAGGACTCCTACTCTCACTTAGTCACGTTAAAAATCAGACAGGAAGAGGTATTTCTTCTTCCTTTTCCTTTCTTCTCCACAGGCTCAAATACTGACTGTCCACTTTAGTTCTTAACTCCTTCCCTACATTCACAAAAATTCAAAGCTGTGTGTAGCCAACATGAACCATATGTGATGAGAACTATTTCTGTTTTTCCCCCAGGACACTTAGATAGGTAAGCTTGAGAAAGCTACACAGTTCCCTAGATGTAAGAAGTGCTAAATTTGTTAAGAATTTAGATTCACACAACCTTCTTTAAATAAATAAATATATAACTTTCTTGTGGTTCTGTCATACTTTATTCAAGAAGAAAATAGTCCCACTATTGTAATTCATTCCTTCAGAAGCAAAAATCACAGATTCGGTTTGTATAGTATGGATACTTCAAAAAGACTAGGTGCATGAGGATACTCAGAAAAAGAAAAAATAAAACATTATTCCGGTCTTTTTCTTTTTGGTCTTTTTGAGACAGGGTCTCCCTGTAGCAGCAGCTTGCCTGGAGCTAGCTACTGAGACCAGGCTGGTGCCATCTCACAGAAATCCACCTGCCTCTGCCTCCCAAGTGCTGAAACTAAAGAAAGGCGTGTGCCACCATGCCTGGCCTTCAGTCCTTTTTTTAATAGAGTGTTTTTAAAAATAAAATTCATATCTGCTATGCTATAAAAATTAAACACAAGGGACTGGCAAGATGGTTCAGTGTGTAAGAGCTCTTGCCACCAAACCAAACCATCTGAGTTCCATCCCTGGAACCCACATGGTGGAAAGAGAGGATCAACTCCCACAAGTTGGCCTCTGACCTCTGCATGAATGTCATGGCATATGTCCTGTGATGGCTAATCCTGGGTGTCAACTTGACTGGCTCTGGGATTAAGTGAAATGAAAGAGATCTTCTTGACTGGATCATCTGAAGCTGGAAGACTCACACTAAATGTGGATGTTACCTTCTGATGGCAGCCCATATAAAAGGCCAAGGCAGAGGAGAACACCTGGTTTCTTGCTGCTTGCTTTCTCTCTCACTGATGAGTTCATCTTGCTGCTGTAAACTGAAGACTAGCTGATCCTTTGGAATTTGTCAGACCTTCTGCTCCAGATTGTGACTACTGAGCCACCCAGCCTCGCGGACTGAGTAACTACGGATTCTCAGCCTCTCCAGTGTGGCGCAGCCATTGTTGGACTACTCAGACTCTATCCTGTGAGCAAAGCTGATAAATCTCTATACATATATATTAATTCTACCAGTTCTGTTTCTTTGGAGAACCCTGACTAATACAGATTGTGGTACCAGGAGTGGTTCTAGAGAAAAAGAATTGAAAGGATGAATTTTTTTAATGGGCTTGTTGGTATTTGGAGCAGGCGCTCCAACTCAGTCTTCAGGTAACATGGAGAAAATCCATGGTGTAGACTATTTGAAACAATTATGGAGATAGACCCATTTATTCTCCTAACTCACCTCTTGTGAAGAGGAAGAAAATTAGTGATTCTATACATAAACCATTTGACAATTTGTGGAAAAATAAGAAAAATAATGATGCTGGCTGGTTACTTTTAGCATCTCTGGATAAAGTGATGAAGATAAACAATGAGCTTAATGAAGAAACTGACAAGCTCCATATGCCAAGCAACAGTTAAAATGTTTCCAAGTGTGCCCTGGAAGAGAATCTTCTCTCCAGCAGCCAGAGAGCTAAAGCTGCAGGAAATCAAGCTGGAGCCCTTATCATACGTTTGGCTGACCTACAACGTAAATTTAATTCCCAGCCTCGAAGGGTGCCAGCATTAAAGGTGCGGGCATTGGAAGGAAAAGATTGGAATCCTGACACGTGCGATGGAGATGTTTGGGAGAACCCTGAGGAGGCTGAGGATTTAGAATCCTCAGATGCTGAGGAATTTGATTCACCTGATGAACTAATTGCCCCACCCTCAGCAGACCCACCCTCTCCACCCTTGCCTGAGGCAAGTAATCCTATTGAGGAAGCTAATCCCATTAAGCAAGATGAAGCTGATATCCCTCAGGGCCCAGTTATTATTGCCTCTAGACCTATAACCAGACTCAAAGCTAAGCAGGCCCCTAGAGGAGAGATAGAAAGTGTGGTCCATGGGGAGGTGCGCTACATCACTAAAGAACTTTGTGAATTTGCTAATTCTTTCAAACAGAAATCTAATGAATATGTCTGGGAATGGATTTTAAGGGTATGGGATAATGGTGGAAGGAACATAAAATTGGATCAGGCTGAGTTTATTGACATGGGCCCCCTGACTGGAGATTCTAGGTTTAGTATGGAAGCTCGTGCTGTTAAAAAGGGTGTTAAAAGTTTATTTGATTGGTTGGCTGAGGTATTTATCAAAAGATGGCCTACTGACAGAGAGCTGGAAGGGTATGGGATAATGGTGGAAGGAACATAAAATTGGATCAGGCTGTCTGGAGATTCTAGGTTTAATATGGAAGCTCATGCAGTTAAAAAGGGTTTTAAAAGTTTATTTGAGCAGAGGCAGGTGGATCGTTGTGAGTTCAAGGCCAGCCTGGTCTACGTAGTGAGTTCAGGTCAGCTGGGACTTCAGGGAGACCCTGTCTCAAAAAGACAAAAAAAAATGTTTATTTGATTGGTTGGCTGAGGTATTTATCAAAAGACGGCCTACTGAAAGAGAGCTGCAGATACCTGATATCCCTTGGCTTAGTGTTGATGAAGGGATTGTAAGGCGCAGACAAATTGGTATACTCTAGTGGATTCGCAGAGCAACACCAAATCCTCCACAATGGGAGGGCCCAGAGGACATGCCTTATACTGATTTTATAAGATGGAAAGTACTGAGAGAGACACTAGAACTTTTGAAGAGCTTTGTTTTTGCTCTTTTCCTCATGCTGAATCTTACAGTTGGAGTTGCTGCTGCTCAATTGCATAAATTAAATGTAAATATAATAGGTATAACAGGACCTCAGAGTAGGGGTCAGGTGGCAGTATTGAATTACCAAAGACAAGGTGAGCGTACTTATCGTAAAGGGCAGCAAAAGCAAAACAATACCTACAATGGCATGACTGGAATGGACCTGTGGTTCCAGCTAATCAATCATGGTGTTTCCAGGGACTACATACATAAGAAGCCTACTAAGTTTTTATTTGATCTGTATAAGCAGAAAAGCTCTAGGATGAATGACAGGAAGTCAGTATTGGATTGTAGCAATAGATAATCTTGCTCAGTCAACCAATTTCCAGACTTGAGACAGTTTACAGACCCAGAACCCCTTGAATGAAGGGAAGGCCAAGTGCCCTTGAGGAAGGACCTTGTCACAGTACCAAAGAGTTACGCTGTTCGCCTTTCCCCCATCCTTCATTGGATACTGGTTCTGAGTTGACACTGATTATGGGAGATCCTAAAAAGCATTGTGGCCCTCCAGTTAAAGTAGGGGCTTATGGAGGTCAGGTGATAAATGGAGTTTTGGCTGAAGTCTGTCTGACAGTGAGTCCAGTGGGTCCCTGAACTCATCCTGTGGTCATTTCCCCAGTACCAGAATGTATAATTGGGATCGATATACTCAGGAATTGGCAGAATCCCCACATTCGTTCCCTGACTTGTGGAGAGAGGGCTATTATGGTTGGAAAGGCCAAATGGAAACCACTGGAATTGCCTCTGCCAGGGAAAATAGTGAACCAAAAACAGTATCGCATCCCTGGAGGGATTGTAGAAATTAGTGCTACCATTAAGGATTTGAAAGATGCAGGGGTGGTGAATCCCACCACATCTCCCTTTAACTCTCCTATTTGGCCTGTGCAGAAGACAGATGGGTCATGGAGAATGACAGTTGACTATCGAAAACTTAATCAAGTAGTGACTCCAATTGCAGCTGCTGTACCAGATGTGGTTTCCTTACTTGAGCAGATTACAACATCTCCTGGTGACTGGTATGCAGCTACAGATCTGACAAATGCTTTCTTCTCAATACCAGTTTATAAGGACCACCAGAAGCAATGTGCTTTCAGCTGGCAAGGCCAGCAGTATACCTTTACTGTCCCATCTCAAGGATAGAGTAATCCTCCAGTCTTGTGCCATAACTTAGTTCTAAGGGATCTTGATCGCCTGTCTCTTCCACAAAATATCACACTGGTCCACTATATCAGTGATGTTATGCTGACTGGATCCAGTGAGCAGGAGGTAGCAACCACTCTGGACTTGTTGGCAATGCAAATGCACATGAGGATGGGAAATAAATCTAACCAAACTTCAAGGGACTTCTACCTCAGTGAAATTTCTAGTTCAGTGGTGTGGAGCATATTTTTTGCTTCAAATTAATTCAACAAAAAGGCCTAAAGCTAGCTGTGACAGACTTAATCTCAGATAAGGCACAAGGCACAAAGCCTGGACTGAGAGTAGATTCTGAGAGAGGGCAGATAACGAGAGATCATTCCGCACCCAAACCAGCCATTTCAAACTGCCAGGCACTATAATATCACAGCAAAAGTAATTTCATCTTGTAACTATGTTCATGTAAGTGACTCAGAAGGCAGCTACCTTTTACTGGGGCCTGGAACAGAAAAGGGCCCTTCAACAGGTCCAGGCTGCTGTACAAGCTGCTCTGCCCCTTAGGCCATATGATCCAGCAGACCCGATGGTGCTTGAGGTATCAGTGGCAGATAAAGATGCTGTTTGGAGTCTCTGGCAGGCCCCCATAGGGGAATCACAGCGAAGTTCATT